ATAGCAATTTATAATAGGAATGACAGGAGATTATATTAATGGTATAATAAATTCAAACCTTTGTCTGCTAATTATCTCTCAAGGTCTGGCACAACGGAGGTAGCTATTCAAGTAACCAAATTCCGATTATCCACTCGAGCTTTATTATTCACGTAAGTCTATCGAAGGTTCAGATGTGGAATCGATTAATTAGTGAGGATGATGATGAAGGGGTCACCCACCACACAAAGGCGAGAGTTAAGAGGGTCGCGCGGCGGGCGATCGGATCTTTTCTGGGTCACGGGTCAAAAATCAACGTAGCCACACGCACCAAAAAAAAAACAATAGAGCGAGAGTACAACTATTTCGTTGAAATAATACGCATTTTGTACACCACCAGTTGGGGTCCCTCCCGCGCTGCGGCGCCGGCTTTAAACTCTTGCCAAAACTAATTACCCGACATTGACAGAACGGCCGATTCCTCGGTTCGGAAATTAATCACTTTTTGACGGATAATTAAATTGTAAAACCCTTTTCCCAATTAGCGACTGCGTGCAGCACCACACCAAACACCGCCGACCGCCCTCTGCTCCATCCCTCCTCTATCGTCATCCTACGCCGCCGCCTCCGACGCCACCACCATCCTTCTCCGTTTTTCCACTCCTCTCTTCGCCCGGGCTTACATAACAAACTCATAATTACCGCCGTACTCGCTTAATAAACACAACGTTTTTAATCATTAAAACATTTTCTCTCGTAATTAAAAACGCACTCCGGGCAAAGTGCAAGACTCGCCGGCAAGGAATTTCCTAATTAGGTTATTTGCTTTTATTTTTCTAAAGTCGACACAATTACTTCGTCTGGCAAAATTTATATATTACCTCAGGTAAAATACATTTTATTTAAATAAATATTTACAAAGTTTCACATTTTTTCACTGCATTATTATTATTCTAGTATTAATATACATGAATTTAGTATATTCCTTTCAAGTATCAAGGATATAAAGTATCCAGAATATAAATTACATATGACATTAATATGATAAATGTACCAACTACAGTACAAATAGAAAAGTTCAAAATTGAAATCATTAATTAAATTAAATTCTACTTAAGTTAGTTAATTGTCACTGCATAATCTGTAGTTGGTAGACCTGATAATTATACTTATTCCAATTCAAGCAACTTTTTAACTAGTTATTATTATAAATTATCTCAATTCTATTAAAGTTATCAATAACTCACAAACTTTGTACGTTTATTAATGTATATAATCTTTATACATAAAATTCGTTAATTTAGTAAATATTTACACTATATTTAGATGAAGTAAACGTATTTTAGTAAAAATGCATCAATATAATTAAATCATTTTTAGTAGATGTACACATAAACCACATTTTTTAAATTTGTAACAAATTTGATAAAAAAAAGATGGTGCAAAAAGTTGGATATTTTATTATAAACAGAAATTAGTTTATATCTGTAATGTTATATTACTTTAGGAAATTATTTATATAAATTTTTTCTATTATATTATTATATTATATTAGAAGGCAATTTTTGTTATAATTTTTGTAATATTTCAATAATATGGTTGCTTGCAGTTTTTATTACCATTGTAACACTTCTATTAAACGTATGATTACGAATAATTGATTAAACTCTTTGTAAGTTAAATTAGTTCCGCCAATAACCCGAACTGTTTGAAACCGGACTAATCAAAGATGAAAATAAACTGCACAAAAACTGTATAATGCGAAAAAAAAAATGTATTTCTCATACAAAATATATTTTTAATAATTGATCGTTAATAGCGTTTAATTGATTTCTATTAAATTTGCTATTATTCAATTAAGTGCAAATGAAGGACGTCCAAATTAGGAATGCCAAATGTATTTGCATGAACATTTAGGCAAAATTAAGAAAGAACCAAAATAATCGTGAAGTGTGGTAATGAGTAAAAGGCAACCATTAATCAATTGTTTTTTTTTGTGAAAGGCTAATTTTAATTATAAGCCTCAAAGTTTTATTAATTCATTTTGCATCGAATAACATGTAATTAAATAATTTATATAATTGATTAAGCATCGCTTAATCTCATAACGCAAAGAGCGTTGTTGTTTTTTTGTTGTTGCTTCTTTAATTTTTTAATTTTCATCTTTCGTTTTCTATAATTCTACTTTCGTATTAATTTTTCAACCTCACCATTGAATATGTAATTAAATCCTTTCTCTCTCTCTCTCTCTCTCTCTCTTTGTTTTTCCGTTCCACACATATACACACGTGATGATTAAGTCAATGCACTTAACGAATAAAAAAAATACGTACGTACATATGGTTCTTGGTGAAGAAACGAGATGGAGATTATCTCGATTAATTAATCTGCTCGCCTACTTCGACCGTTCCCCGTTTGCCTATTTATTAATTTTATTTTCCTCTCCTCTTTTTATTTCTATTTTTTCTCTTGAAATCTACTTTTAATATTTCTTAATTAGTTCAACTTGATTCTTACGACCTGTCTTCGACGTGCCGTAACTCCGCCCAAAGCTTTTAGCCAGATTTAAAACACATCATAATGAGAAGGAAAGAAGACGAAGAAGAAGAGGCTACAACGACTTCATTCTACATCGAACGTTCACGAAAAGAATATGTTTTGAATTTCATTTCCTCATCAATTTTCTTTCTTATTATTTACTCCCAGTCAAATGCTATGATTGAAATATTTTTTTCCTAAAAAATGTTGTCATTGTTAATATTTTTAAAATTTGTACGTGACATTTGCAAATGAATTTATCAAGTAATGCGCATAAAGTAAAATAAAGTACTTGCCAAGTAACTTGCAAAGAAAATAAAATATTTTCTCGTTATTTTTTATTCGATTTACTTACGCATTATTCATTCAAATACACTAATCATGACTAGGCTCTTTAGGGCAACACAATTAATCATATTTTCTTTCAAGCTAATCTTGATCAAGTGAGTATTTAATTGTTCACTTTCTTCACTGGTAATAACTCAACTTGAGCACATTTAAATGCGGTCGTTTTTCATCGATCTTCCTAAAATAAAAAAACATTACTTTGTTTTGTGTATTTTTTCTAAGTAATTGTTCTTTTTCTCTGGTGGTAGACAAATTAACTGCTCAATTTCGTTACATTTAGGTGGAAGGGTCGGTTCTACGTCGTTGCGTGTACCTTATCATTTGGCATCAAATTGCGATCAGGGGAGGCTTTTAATCGACATCACACTTTTCACCCACTTAATATACAGAGATATCCTAAAAATCAATAATCTCTGGTATTAATTACCACAGCGTTTTTTTTGTTTTTCATTCGGAAAGTCAATAAGTCAAACATTTCATTTCGCTAATAGTATGCAATTACCGAAATAAACGTTATTTAATTTATTCCCATACTTAATCTCCGTTTGAATCGTGTATAAAACAAATGACTAATTATGTTATTTAATTTATATTTAATTTAACTGAATCATAACAGAAAATCCATATAAAAAATATATATTTATTTGTTTTCACTTCATGTTAACAGTAGATATATTTGAAAAACTCAATTTTCTTACCAACAATACGTGTTTTTACAAAGTTAATAATTTTAACTGAATTATATTATTATATATATTTTTTATAATATTTAAAGATTTTATCAACTAAAACAACTATTTTAAACTTGTTTTTATAATTTATTTTTTAATTATTTACATTAATAATAGCAAAATTCATATGCTTCTATTGATAGTGTATCGAAGATGAAAAATAGTAGTGTATCATATTTGATGACGTCAAAATACAAAAGCCTATTGTCAATAAGGAAAAAAATACTCTTAAAAATATGTTATTATTATTTTAATAATTAGAGCAAATAATCAATAATAACGTTAAAGACATAATCTTTTTTATGGTTGATTTATTTTTAAATAACTTAAAAAGAATTTTTAAGGAAATCTAAACGACAAATTGAAAATCTGTAAGTCAAAAATCAAAATATTGTAAATAAAATTAGTTATTGTTATGTTTTAACTGCTGTTTGCTTTAGTAATAAAATAAAAGGATATAAAAATTATTCAAATATGAATAACGACACAATATTTCAGAAAGCGAAATAATTGAAAATACATTTATTATTACTTTGAGATAATCATAGTCATAGTCTAGTAAAATTTGCTTTGTTAAAGTTCTTTTAATTTAGAAAATATCCAAGATAACTTCGTTACAAAACATATAATCGTTGCCGTCGATAAGAACTTACAGTATACAAATCACGTAACAAATACAAATATTACTGTTAACTTTATAATCTTAAAAAATCAAGTTCATAATCTTTGTATAATGAATGAATTTAAACTAAAAATCGTTGCATCATCATTGCATTTAAGTTAAACTTTATAATCATTATAATAAGTGAATGGTTGATTATTATTGTATTTAAATTAAAAATCTCATGATAAATATATATATATTACTGTTAACATTACAATCTTTGTATTAAGTATACATGAATGATCGATTATTAATTGTGTTGAGATTGGATGAAGCCTCGCAAATTATTTCAGATATATCGGAAGAATTCAATTGACCAAATTGATTTATTGCGTTCCGAGACGATCACATGGTTAAAAGCGGATTAGTGGCAAAAATTGATTGGCTCCGGCGATTTATTTCTTCTCCGGCATTATATAACTGGTTGCTGCGATGCATTGAACACTTGTATACTCACACATATACACACACAAAACGAAATATTAAACTTCATCCGTTATTGACAGGGCACTAATTTGACGTCCGTACGGCTCTCCCGTGTGACAGGCGAATTAAATTTGACAGGATTACTCGAGATTGACAAATAGGATTTAAGAGGATTTAGGAACGCTCGCGAGGGTTCAGAAAACTCTTAACGTTTCGTATATATGCTCTCCTTTAAATGTGTAAATACTTGTTGTTGTTTTGAATGCGCAATTTCCGTTTTTTTTTTGAAAGGAGGGAAGTAAAAGTGAACTTACCCGCGCTTTCGCCGTTTCCGGGTGTGATGGCGCGCTCCCTGTCGCTTCCGTTCGGATCGTCCTTCCGGACAAGTCCAAGGATGTTGTCGATCGTGTGTCTGGGTCCCGTGTTCGGGCTGGACATCATCCTCAGCGGTTTCACTTCCAAACCGAAGCCACCTATCATACTGGAGGTATCCTCGCAACGTTCCGATTCCATGACGCGGTTTCGACTGACTCCGGTGTGTCAATTGGAAGGCATGCTTCGGGACAGCTGGAGGGCGGGGCAAAGGCGTGTCCTTTGCAATCCGGACCAATGGGAACGTTCGGCCCCGTCCAACATGGAGTCCGCACCTGCTCAGTCCCCCTTTTTCCACCCGTTACTAAGGATAGGGAAACGTGAACGAGGAGGAGACAACGTCCTTTTTCGGGTGGGCATTGTTCGCTGTCGCATATGTATCATCATCTCTCTTGTTTACGGTAGTTTGTTGTAAAAACGTTTATAAACGTGTCGGTAATTGGGGTTACATTTGGATGTTTTAGTGGGATTGCTATAACCCGCTCAAGGGAAACAATGTAATTGGATTTGGATACGCTGCTTTCCGAGTAGATTTCGCATCTCTCTTACACTCGCACGCACTCAACAAACCCGAACCAATCCACTTAACAAATCAATTCTAATATCAATTTCCAATCATTCACAAATACAATAAAACAAATTAATTTTCAATCGTTAAAATGGACACGCAATTAAATAATCATCACACTAGATATTTATATCAAAAACAAAAACTTGATTAATTTAGGTTATGAATACAGAATTACCTCGCATAGTGCGGTTCTACCAATATCCTGAACTGAGAACTTTAAAACCGTATAAAAATTAACAAAATGTAGTACTTTTTTGAATTTATTTTTATTTTGCTCAATTAAAATTCACAAATACAATACAACAACAAAATTTCAATCGTTAAAATAGATACGCAATTAAATAATCATCACACTAGAAGTTTATATCAAAAACAAAAACTATTGATTATTTTAGGTTATGAACATATAAATATATAAAACATAGAAGTTTCGCCAATATCCTAAACTGTTTATAAAGTTTCAAACTTTATAAACTGAGAAATTTAAAACTTCATAAAAATAAACTGTACAGAGAAACAGAGTGATATTATTTTTTAATTATTTTCATTTTGCTCAATTATTTAGTATGTTTTGAAAATTTTAAAACTTTCATAATATTATTATAATATATATTATCTATTGGTAATCTAGCACAATCTGGATGCAATATTATAATTTCAATTGAAATTTCTATTATTCAATATATCAATTTGCTCCTAATTCGGATATGTGATATCCGAAATATCAACTATTGATTATTTTAGGTTTTCAATATACTCAAACTTAATATTTCACCACCTGTGTACAAATAATTGAAGCAGTCTTAAATCAGACACTGTGTGGATAAAGCATTATAAGAATTTAAATTAAAACTTCGACTGCTCTGAGGCAATTAAGTTGCGAGCGAAGGAAAATACAATTTTCAAGTGTATAGGGGTGGTTTTTAGCAGGGCAAAAATATATTGAAGGGGAAACGTTAACGAGAGAAAGATATATAGAGTGGAGCAGAAAGAAGGAAGTTTTTTTTTATCGGGCGTTCCTTCAGTTACATGTATTATATATATGTGACGTATTTAAATGAAACCAATCAAAGTATTTCATAGAGATAGTATTTTTATGTTTTATTTATACGAGACCATTTAGTTTAAAACAATATTATTTTCATTTAAATTATTAAAAATAGTTGATTACTCACTAAATAAATATAATAATGAAACAATGCAGTATGATATGGATGAATATGAATATAAATAATTGAATTGTCAATAATAATGTATGTAATTATATAATTGTTACAATAACTATTGTAATGATTATTAACTCTAATAAATTAATGTTAATATTGTAAACATTCGTTTACTTATTTTTGTTTGTTATATATTATAAATTATTGAAAATGTATCAATTCTAAATATAAAAGAATAACCTAATACTAATTCATTTTGGTATTAATTATAATAATTTTATTTTTTATATAATAATATTAATATTTAAAGAGTTATAGAACAATGTATATTGCAACTATTATATAATTATAATTATATAATTATAAAAAGCTCTGAGTGTCTTCTTAAGACCAGCCTTATGCAAATGGTTCCAACCGCTAATCTACAGTTCCTGGGCAATGCATTTTATTAACATTTCAGACAATTGTGTTTCATCTTCGACGTCCATATTACCAGAACGGAAGTCTTGGAACCAACGCTTTGCTGTTGCATTTGATACTGTTCATAAACAACACATTTTTTCTCCGCTTTTCCCCTTGGTCCTGAAGAATGTATCGAATTTTCTCTTCCATTTTACCTCCATTTTGTAACGCTCTAACACAGAACTAAATAGAAAACTGTCAAAGAACGTATACATTGTGAGTGAGATATGGCTCACTAAAGCCATCTAACGCTCAAAACTTTTTATTTCACCCAATATATGAAATAAAAAACCAAATTATATTATCATATTACTTTATAAAGGCAATTTTTAAGAATTTTTATATATTATTACTTTATATTTTCTTTATATTTCTTCTTACAGGAAATATTTATTTATTGAGTTTTTTTTCAGCAGTTGGATGAAAATCAGAGAAATAAATGTACGAACTAATAAAATTGAAGGAAGGATTGAAGCATGGGCTAAACTTATAACAATTCCAATGTTGTCAAATTTATATTTATTTACACTTTTTTATTGGATATTAATTTCGGTCAAATGGTCCGTGTTTATTAAAAATATTGTGTTTACATGAAATATTCTTAAAATAAAATATAAATGAAAAATTCGATGCATTTTTATTAGTTGTGTAATTAGAAACGTAACAATTGAATTGTTATAACTTAAATTATAAATCATTTACACAAATTTCTATATTTCATCAATCAATTTGTTCATTTTTTAAGCAATCTTATGTTGGTAAAATCCAATTACTATTTACATCGAGTTATCAAGTAATATAAATTGAAGTTAAGTCAATACAAAAAAAAAACGAGAAAAACGAGAAATAAATGTGAGCGAAGAAATGGGCTGAAAACGGTATACGGAGAATGTGGAAAATCCCCATCTGACAAACATTAATTTTCAATCAAAATCAATCAATGAGAGCAGTTGGGTAAATAATGGAGTCTAACTGCGGTCGCATTCGTGATTAGTTCCCGTACGCCGTCCCCGGGGCGCCACCTACCACCCCCCGACCGCCCCTTTGCACGACCTATACCACCACCTACGGCTCCACCAGCGCCGCCACCGCCACCCGATCCCATGTACATTGACAGAGGCGGCGGTGGTGGTAGAGGCAGCGGCGGCGGTGTTTTCAAAACGGATTCCTTCGTTTGGGGGTGGGTGGTCCTACGTCGCGCCACCTGCCGCTAATTACCATAGTCATGCGGCCGGGCTGCCGGAAATTAAATCGGTTTACAGCGCTCCAATATTTGTGTTACCAACATTTAAACAATTTAGTTTCATTACTGAAACTCCGACTCTCTCCCATGACTCCACATATATTCTATACGGACATCCACACTCAGCATGCATTGCATTACAGATTCAATTCAACCATGACCCTCATCGCCTTCTGTATTGCTACTCGTGAATGTTTTGTTTATTGCTACAACTTTTTTGTTTTATTTAAATTTGATAAATAAAGTATTTCCTAAGTATTTCAATTACTCGTCGAAACTAACGAATAATGCTTAAAATTTAATGAAAATTTTTCAAAAAATATAAGTAAATCATTAGCTTAAAAACAATAAAACATTAATAATGAGAATTGATTATCAACTTTCAAGCATTTGCAGAATACTGAAATTTTCAAAATGGGACTAGTATAGAATTTGACGTTTTTCGAAACCGTCGAGTTTCTAGTTTAAGTGTAAAAAGTTATAAAAAAAACTACATTGTCAAAGTAAATTTTCAGTAAAAACGAAAGTATATTCTTATATTTTTTTCTAGTATCTACTAATTAGGTAATCAAAGAGTAAGTCATTTATCAAAAAAAAAATATCTTTCATTCTTTAAAAATTAGCTGCTGGTATAGAATATATAAATGCAAATTACGTGTATAATCGGGACTATATCGAAATCGCAACAATCAAATTCCCGACATTTGAAATCCGGACAACCATAATCCCGACAATATCAAAATTAATTTACATATATATCTAAATATCTAAAGAATAGAAATAAAAGCATCTAGTAACTAGTTTTAGGATATTTATCAATGAATGTCTAAGTAATTGGATTAAAGCAAAATTATTTAACGTAAATTATTTATTTAAAAAAATATATTTCAAAATTTAAGCTACAAAAGCATCTGCCGTTGGTATAGAACAATGAAACTCAGATTATAGAACACAACAAAGTTTGTGATGTTCTACATTCATTTATATGCATATGTGTAATGGATTTAGATATTTTTTGTTAATAAATCTTTCAGATTTAATCTTATTCTTCACATGTTTATGTCATAATTACGAAAATATATATTCTTCATGAATATTATATTTATATCTATATTAATTTCTTGCTTGTAAAAAACTTATGAAATCAGCTATAATATTAAAAAAAATAGATATTAGTATGTAAAATAATTTTAGTCTATTTATTAACTAAGGTTATCAGGGTTGTCTTAACTTGTAAAATATGATCATTTATGTAGTTAATTTTTTTTACAATAATTAAAGGTCAAAACACATGTCTCTAAACTATATACAATAAAATTGAACATTATTAAATTGCAATATATCCCTTAGCTTTTTATTTGCTTCATAGCTTTTCAATAGTTCTTGAAAATACATTCAATAAGTATATTATAGAATCCATTAAATCGATGAATGATTTTGCTAAATAGGAAACCAATTTGTGACATTCTATTGAAGTATCATTGATATAAATGGCTTTATGCTACGCTATCTCCAACATCTAACGCTCTTGCTCTGCATTGCTCTAAACTAGAGATTTAGGGTAGATTATTGGGCAACAAAACAAGCGAAAATAGTCGATGAAAAGGTGGCAGGCAATATTTTTTTTATATGTGTTTCCCTCAGCTAATTCAGCCGCACAATGCTATCAACCCCTTCGATCTCCTCTCCAAATGCATCT